ACAGGAAACAGAAACTGGCTTAGCCTGAAAGTAATTTGTTTTCTGAATTAGTTTTCAGCTATTCTTCCCCCACCTGGTTTAGTACCTGGGGACACCACTTCCACTGCCACAAGAAGGGATCACTTTTTGCATAGGAATTCTTATTCACACAAAGTTCAAAATGCTGAAACTGTAGCCTAATTTTCATCAGGCAAGTCAAGGACAAGTGCATTAAAGACCTTGCACTCTGTCGTTAACCCAGTAAAGGCTGGACGAGCGCAATGAAGGAAGCGCAGATTGCCACATCAACATTTCCTTCTTTACAGCAATCCCCAAATAGGAGATCAGGCTGCCCAGACAACTAAATCACATCCAGATTCCAGAAACACACTTCAGACGTTAAGAATGGAAATTATGGTTAATACAGAGCCATTTGAACGACCTTTTGCATTAATAACTTTTTCTTTGGTTCAGCTATATTATTTTTTCCAGTAAAGGTTATACATCAATGCAACAAATGAAAAGCTGAATAAGTAGTTACATATCAGAAACCACAATTCTCTTAAATACGTACTTTATCTCCCCATATTTTCAACATTTCTACGTATTAACATGAAATATTTCCAAATACTTGTTAGTGAAAGGAAAATTACTGCTCAGCTTCAAGTCAACTAGGCAGTTAATGTACATGCTTGCTGAACGTGGCTCAGATATACCGGGCTTTGAGGGAGACAGACTTCTTATCAGAGATTTCCAAGACAGCAGAGGGCTTGTTTGCTGTTTTAACCTAATCGTCTTTGAAAAGCAATAAGCTACAGAAATCTAAAGGACCTCTCTTTTTGCACTGGAATATCCATTTTGGGGTATAATACTTCAGCTCGTGTATTCACTTCACTTAGTTTGATTTGCATTTGATTTGCTTTGACTCCTCCAGAACCTCAAGAAAGAGAACTTCTAAGAAAACAGGACAACGTGAATTTCTCCACGATTATTCTATTTCCTTTACGGACATTGATGTCTACCATGAGCTATTTTTCTGATGTTTACAACTTGATTTAAGAGCCTGGAATATGTCTTTTTCAAATGGAGAGGGGGAAAAAAAAGAAAAATCTACTACAAGTATTTTTCTGCAGTCATCCACAGGAACACAACTCAGTTGACATATCACATAACTGACAGGCTTTGGGCATTGACCACCTCTCTGGGAAGCCTGTTCCAATGTTTGACCACCCTCTCGCTAAAGAAACGCTTCCTAACGTCCAGTCTAAACTTCCCCTTTTCATCTCCACATCTAATGCACAGTTCAGCACAACCTCACATGAGATACTCTGAGCAAGCCTGCATTTGAGAATCAACCACCTCACAACTCCACTTCCTTTTTGCAGCGGAATTCCTTCTCTGATAAGTATTTGAATGAGTGCCCCAAACCCTTAGTTTGTATTTAACCAATATTCTTTCTAATTTTATCTGAATTATCTGAATTTATCTGAAAGATTCTACAGGGCACCTGTCTTTGTATCCAAATAAATCAGAAATAGATACATACATTGGAAGCTTCCTTTATTTCCTATGTATTTTTTAAAGACATCGGCTCTCCCATAGAAGTTTAGTTAGACTCTACACGTGGGACCGTGTAGCATTAGGCAATTCGAACTTTAAGTGCACAAAAGACCGGTGAAACTAGAGATCAAACAAATAAGATTAAGATATTTTTTCTATCTACACAAAAGAATACAAACCATATACTACAGCTTTAATCATCTCTTCAAGATTTCTTTATCAGCCTTTAATCAAACTACCTCATCCCAACACCACTGGCGATGAACACCTGACACAGTAGTTTGCTGTGACAGAGTGCAGAAGCAACTGTGAAGAGTTTACAGCTTCTTTTCAGTAGAGGAATACTGCTAACATCTCAGTAGCAACCGAAAAATGTTCCAACAAAGCTTAGCTGTTGGGAAATGTCAGTTTGTCAAGCCTGAAATGCTTTGAACCCAACACTTAAGGTTCAACAAACTTCCGACAAATTTCCATTTGTAATGCAAAAAAGAAGCCCAGTTGAGATGTGAATTTGTAAATGCATTTCTCTGGCATTTAAACAGTTGTCAGAATGGCCTCTCTTTTCTTGATAACCCAGATCAGGCAGAAAAGAAGATGCAGGATTTTTGCCTTTTTTGTTGACAGTATCATCCCAAAACAGCCAGTTGCCAACAACAACAACAAAAAAATTGAACTGATCAATTCAAGGTAACTCCTATTAAGTACATTTGAAAATCAAAGTCAGAGGGAAAAATTTAACAGATTGAAATACTCCAGTCTAACACTCCACACCCTAAGATCACACACCAAGATCAACAGAGTTGAGCCACATCTGAAGTCCATTCTGGAATGTAATCTTAGCTGACGAGCTGTGTCTCACCCACCTATGAATTTGCCCTTAAGGACATACTTTTCCAGTTAAGCATTTTAATAAGACTCCCAAATGAGCTTTTGTCTATCATGAATTCATTGTTCTGCTGAACTGCAATTCCACACTGCTGGAGGCTCACCGTTTTCAAGACGCGATTTTAAGCAGTTGTTTTCCCCAGATATCCATAATCATCACAGCATTGCTATTATTGAGAACCTTCAGAAAGCATTCAATAGCAGTCGGTCCAACCTGCAAGAACTGATGTGTAAGGGCAGCATTTAGTCGCTAAAGTTCTGCAACGGTACGGTCAGACTGGAGCATCTCTCAGGTGTATGATGCTACATTGTCACTTAGAGGGGAAATTCGGTGCTGAAGCGGGACTTAAATTCCATCAAGCCTCTCATCCTCTTCTGTAACATATTACTGAAAAGTTACTGCTGTCAGTATAAATAAAAAACAAATGGCATGGAGCAGTCCAGTTACATTTGTACCTTTGACGGAGATGGAATGGCTAGGCAAGCTACCGTAGGTGACAGGCAGGTCTTTCGCAACAACCAGTGCGAGCTGTAGGCTCTGAGGACAGTTTCCAGCAATTACACAGTAATAGCTCAATTCTACAGTCTATAGTGCTGGACAGGAGTCCAGTGGCAGAGAAAAAAAAAAAAAAATTAACAGGTGAATGGATTATTCAGCCAAGTTTACTATTACTTGCACTAACCTGGTGATTTCACATATTTACATCTGAATTGTTATTAGCCATGACATCAGCAGAGTCTGGGATCTACTACAAAAAATTAGCATGGCACCCAAAAGGGTTAAAAAACAGCAGACAAGAATCCTGTCCCTTTAACATTCATATTCCTGTGGGTACACTGTCCTATACGGGCGTATAAATTACAGACATGCATCACCGACATGCTGTGCTAGGAATTGTCCCAAAACCTCAAACTACAATTTGATGATTCAACAGGAAGACTTAAGGCAAACAGAGGAAGTAGGGAAGATGAAATACTAAGCTTAACCTGTTCTACTTAACAAACAGAATTTGGGACCTTATTACTATCAAACTGCGGCACTTAGCATATGCTTCTTCTGTAATTTGCCCTAATAAGCTACAGGAAAGTTAGAGTGACGCCTCCATAGGCATCAGAGAATTTTCCCACCCAAAGAGGACAACCCAGAAGATCTCACAAAGATCCTTGAGAGAAAGGCAAACGAATGGTTAAAAAAGCGACGCTGCCTGGAAGATGACAGGGCTCTAGTCTCTGACAGAAATAGCTAGGGATAAACGGTAAATCTTTGTTTCCATTGCCACTCCAAGAAAACACATCTCAGCCCAACACTAGCTGTCAGCCAAACCCTGCCCTCACTTCACCTCAGTCTCCCTCGCACTTTCTTCAACTTGGCCTTATGTTTTAAGCTCTCTTTGAACAGAAAGAGGAGTCAAATTCTTCCTTAGAAAAATAATAATAAAAAAAAGAAAATCAATCCACCTTCACTACAGAATCATTATCTGGTGAGGCAGTGCAGGACAAACAATAAAATCCATGAGGTTTTTGCAACACAACATTCTTACGATAAACCCAGGAATGCTTCCTATACCAGAGCATTCATTCCTGTCCTGGTTTTTTACCTAATGGAAATTTTTAAAATTATATTGTAAATAAAAAGAGATTGTATCAAAACAATAGTAATACAATTCTTCAGCTTAATGACACGTGCAAGTAATTCAAACTTAAAAGCAGATCTCTGTTACAGGGATCATAGATCTGGTGGACATACAAATATCACTCTAGTTATATCTGAAGGCTACATACACAGCCTTTAAATAAAGAATACAACATAAACAATGTATCACCAGCTTTCTACTGCCTTTTCAAGCAAAGGCTAGTGTTTCAAGGCAAAATTTCCCACTTTTCTTAGTAGGTGCATGTCAAATCAGTTATCAAAAATGACCCATGCTCCATTACATTGATCCAAACAGAAAAGGTATACCACCTAATTTAAAAAAAAAACATTGAAACTAACAAAACTTAACTCCCTTTTAAAAGAGTGAAATGATACTCAGCAGAAGCATTTATGGTTCTGAATTTAGGAAGGGCAGCCAAGTAACATGGCACATCACCAACAGAACACGTAATTCCTGGGTGATCGGTGGCATTATGTGACTGCTTCTGTTGCTGCCTATCACTACTCAGGGGAACAATCAATTATTGAACTGTTAGTTTTCTAAAGACACGGCCCTGAACAGGGCAAAAGAGCTGCATGGAAATCTTACAAGCTCGGGTTTTATTTAGCATGACTGTAGCTCTTCAGGTTATAGAAAGATAAGCTACAAAAGACCAAATGTCTTTTTTAAACACTGGCAAAACATAATAGATTAAAAACTGCCAAATTAACCATTTTATCTTGGTAATGCAAAGATCTTCCTACAGTGTGCAAAACTGCACGTGAAGAACTTGTCTACAGAAGACGCTCAATAAAAAGAAAGCCAGAGCATAAATTTACGTTATCTTGACCAAGGAAACAGTAGAAAAGTTTTGAATATCAGGAGAAGTTACAGTTTATCAATCAATCAAGAGCAGTCACAGAGGCAGCAGGGGAATCTTACCAGAACTCGATCTCCAATTTTGAGCTCCCTTTCTCCTTTCTTTAGTGATCCGGCTTCAGAGAGATTTGATACAGATTCACTTGCAGTTTTTGAAAGATTGCTAATCTGAGGAGGAGTTGAATGTTCCTTAGCAGCAAGTGGTGAAGTTTTCTGCGGAATTCCTGAAGGGGGAAGTGCAGCAGATGAAGAGACCATACTAGCAGCTGATGTGGAAGTTGGTGATGTAGCTCTAGAAGCGTGAGCTGTCTGTGTACCATTGGCTTCATCTTCTGTCAGCACTTTTCTTGTCAATTTTGATGGTCTTGTAAATATTCCCCTCAAGGGTTCACACTGGAAATAGCGAACTCCAGCCACAGAGCCATCATTCTTACCAATTGGTTCATCTAGAACAATCCCTGCCCACTGTCCTGGAGCAAACTGCGTTTCACCAAGGAATTGAATAAAGCCAGGTTTATTTCCATTGACCCAAACGCGCTCCCCAACTCTGAAATCATCCACAAACTCTTCATGTGCATCTGCAGTGGTTGTGCTTGAGGTCTTGTCACTGGAAGCTGCTTTTTCTGCCGGAGCTGGAATCAAACACAATAGAAAGAAAATACATGAATATTCCAGAGAGCATCATTACTTAGTTTCAATGTAACAAGCATTTGGAACAGCATGATATCTAAAAGGAAGAGCACAATCCCAAGTTTTCTTACTTATGAAAACACTGTAATCTCTGGAATACCATAATTCAAAATCTAAGGACAGAAACACTGAATTAATTTAACACAAGTTTTGGTAAAAATCTTGTAAAGATTAAAAGTCTTACCTCAAAAACTACCCAAACATTTTTTTTTTATCATGACAAGTTTTTTCCAAGGAAAACCATTTGATCACATCCAATTAGTAACTTCATTGTTTTTGCATGTAGTACACAGAATTTTTGTTGCATCAGCAATACAAGCAAAAATATCTTGGAGTAAATAGTAAAAATAGTGCATACTCATAGCTTTCAAGGTACTTTTTGTTAAAAGATGAGTAAGGGAAAAGTTATTTAACTATTCCTTACCAGCTGCAACAGATGCAGGTGTTTTCAGCAAGGTACTTCCATGCTTGAGGGTCTTGGAAGGAGCCTTAAGTCCACTTGGTTTTAACATACTCATCTTTTTGCAATACCGCTATAAATCCTCCTTGTCTGTAGCAACTATCTTTTTCCAAACATGGATAAAATATATTATTCTAATTTTTCCAACTCTGGAACAAACCTGTATATAAAAATATTAGACATGGGAAAAAAAAGAAATCAGTATTTTAACTCCCACAGAAGAAATTTCTACATATACATGTAGTCTGTGTATTAACGCATGAAAGAAGATGCTTTACAATAACAACCAGAAGCATTTCCCAGGATAGCATTTCCAACCCTTCATCTTCTGAAGGCCATTTCCTATTAAAAGACTGAACCTAAAACATCAAAATAACTCACTTCACTGAATGTTGCTGTATTCATCTTGAGCTTTAAACTAAAAGGCTATTTTAAGAAAGAAAAACAAAGCCCTTAACAGCATTACTAACATTACGCATAGATATAAGCAGTCTGCGCACCCTACTGTTTTCAGTCGCATTTTTCAAGTGTTGCAATATCCCAGCAAAAACAACTTGAGACTAGAGAACTAACTGCAAGAGAAAGCAAGAGAACCGGGACTTTCACAATAAAAAGAATAAAGTTTTTAAGAGAGGCTGGAACTGAGAAATTAAGACTGATCAACAGAGTTAGACGATGACAACTAAAAAGCGAAAATCCACCTCGGCTGTATGTGATCTTTGAGATCACAAGATACGCTGGCTCGCAGTCCCCAACACAGTGCCCCAGCTACGCTCCTCTGGACAGAGGAGGAGGGACTCTTCCCGAGGTTGCTAGGATAGAGCGCTGCTCTGACTTGGAACCCAGCTATAAGCTTTTCAGGGAACTATGTCATGAGGGTTTTGCCACAGAAGGCATCTTCCTTCTGATTACAAAAGCTTTAGCAAGGCTCTTTAATCTATAATGAAAAACCTAATTTATTTTTTTTTTTATAATGCAAATTTGAAGCCAAACTGTAAGGTGACTGCTCTCCCCACCAGCTCCTACAGCATAAACTGTTCTGCATGAACACAGCTTGGATATTTGTGAAGCTTTATATATAAAGGCAGTGACAGAACAGCTATGCCCACTTAAAAAACAAAAACAAAACCCCAAACCAGCATGCATCTAAACAAACACCTGGGAAAAAAAAAAGAAAAGGAAACACAGACATGTAGCAATAGACTGTTTGCTCAACTGTTTGCTCAGAACATGACAAACAAGAACTGTAAAGCAGATCCCAGTCCTGCCCTTCACTCTGCATTTTGGCCCCAGTCAGTACACATGCACACGCCCGACTGCAGGCTTCCCAAACCAGTATTAGCAGTGCCCCTACTGGGCACACTGGGCACCCAGTATGTTTAAAGGCAAAACAAACACTACTGCAGGACAGACTGCCACGCTACAGGAAGGAAGACTAAGGAGACAAGCCAACCGTGTCTTTTACCTACCAGGATAAGTTATAAGTTTTACCCTTCATGTATTATTAACAGCCAGCACATCAGCGCTCCTAAAAATCAATTCACTGTGAAACAAACAAAAAAACAAACCAAAGCAAAAAAAAAAAAAAACAACAAAAAGAAAGAAACTATCAGGCACACTGCTTTGTGAACTTAAATAACAAAGTGAAATATTTCTTCTGCTATTTCAGGATCGGGCATGCCAAATTCAAGCCATTTTCTAAGAAGCCTACAAAAATGTTACACTTTAAAAAGCATTAATTACCACCTTGGCTTTCTGGTCTTTGTCTACAATTGAAGTTATGCTCCATGAAAACTCTGAAGTAGCACTGCACAGATCGCTGAACATTTTTTCTAGCGTTGCCAGAAGTATGTCACCCCCCCATCCGCAGAGTTATGACTACCGAAGAGAAAAATTCCTCCATTGTTTTTGCAAGACGTATGCCAGTTTACTATTAAATTTTAAGTGGGAGCTTTCATGTTCACAAACATGAAAGGAGAGTTAGCTCTTTAAAATCAAAGCAGGATAGGCATGAAATACAACTAAGCCATTAAAGAACCGAGAGCCACACAGTTATACAGAAGGACAACTAAAGGATCACCCAAGATGTCACTTTGGACACGGCAGGAACTCTGTTGGGTTTTCCCCCCCTCCTACTACATACCTGCCCTCCCTGCTAAATCCGAGTGCATCATATTTCTTCATATTTTGATTTAGAAGTCTTATAAAACTGCACTTCACTTGTAAATGCCATGGACTTGAAAAGCCTTCCTTTTCTCTTACACACAAGTTTCCTACCTGTTCTTCCTCACGCTGCAGGCCCTATTCCCTCCAACGCCAGGATCTCCACGCACACCTCCATTACTTTCCTCAACCCATCAAACTCCATGGAACGGAAAACCCGTACATAATAAAGAAGGATTTGGTACAAATACGGAAACGCGAGAAGTATCAAGGTCAGTTCTTTTTAGGTCACAGTCTTCTCTGTCAGTGCCAAACACCAAATTTATGGAAATTTAACCACCTCATCTGGGCCAAAGGCAAGTTCCCCTTCAGAAAGATTGCCTCCTAAAATCAGGAAGCTAGAAGCTATCCTACAGTATTCTGCCACTCTTTTGCATATAATACCTCTTTTTTTTTTGCCCCCAAAGAGCATTCCAGCACCACACAGTTAGTAACCATCTCTGTTGTGCCAGGATAGGTATATTAAAAGAAAACAAACACAAAATTGCCCCCTAAAATTACATTTTGCCAGTTTCAAATAATTATTTATTAATAGACCTTTAACAAACCTCTGCTTAACAGAAACTCAGAATGTTCTAATATTGCATTTCTTGGCTCAGGGTACTCATTCATATTTTAATCTTGCTCTCCACAGTCATGGGTTATATATTTGCTGTGTCATTTGCTTTTCTCAATATACAGGCCTTCAACGAGGCCAGAAGTAACACAATCCCTTGTGCCCTGGTTTTGGAGTTACTGAAATCGTAGCTTAATTCAAATAACTGCAAAATACAGGCAACACATTTTGGTAAATTGCTGCTTTATTGCAATAGTGAAAATGCAACTTTTGGTCTTAGAAAGAGACAGGACCTTCATAGTAGCATTTCCTAATAGAATTCATAAACCACTGAAAGCATGTAAATTTGCATCAGGTGATCTGAAGCATTACGCACTCCGGCATTTCCTAGCAGGCTCCAGATGTCAATTACCTCACTTTAGTTCTCCTCAGAGAGAGCAGCTAGCTACTTGTCTCGATTTGTTCTCTTTCTGTCCCCGAATCTGCCTCAGCTCTCCTGAAAAAGAATCTTTATAACCAACAGGCAATAACATTAACTGTAAGTTTTTCAAAAGGTCATATCTGGAACCTCAGGAAATGCACAGAAAGAATCTGATGATATATACGACTGAAGTGTTCAGAAAGCCACACGTTCTACCAATAACTTAATTGGGCATAAAAAAGAGATTTTAAACACAAGCTTTACACTTGTGTCACTACTGGGAAATATGATTTCATACAATATGAAAACATGTTACGTTCTCGAATGAATTGCAATTTTGTGTGTGTTGACTACTACAAATTTTCCAATGCAGACATGAATCCTCGCATTGGCCCTTTTAGCTGATTAAGAATATCTTTATTCTTCTTATCTACCTTTTACGGACCTAGAAGTAGTGCATGGATCAAAGCCATCTGTAAGCAACAAGTTGAGAATCATTGGTTTAAGAAAATAAATCCTAGTAATCTGACAGTAGATACGAATTTTGTTGGCAAGTTGATATGAAAAATAAATAAAATTTAACCATATAACCCTGAATTTAAAAAGCAGAATATTTTCCAACTGTCAAAAAAGGAATTCCTATAATAAAAAGAAAAGAAAACAGTTATCCAGCACTGTTTCTTTCCAGACTGTATTTTCAACAACTAATACTCCAAAAACAACTGGAAAACAGGAAAAAAAGTTAAAACCTCAGCTTACTCCTTTTAAGAACCCTATAGTCACACAAGAATATAATAGTACCAGTAGTTCTTTAAGCTTAGTAGTTCTTTAAGCTTAGTTGACATCTGCCAAGCCCACTGCCATCACCACACTCTCCCTCCTCAGGACAGGTTGTGTCATAATTAGAAGTAAAACGTTTCATCAGATAAAACATTTGAAACAATGACTTGACAATTTAAGGAAGAAACGTTTGTTAACATCACTACTTGGGACTACCATGGAACAGAGGCAGTGTTTCCATGGAGAAGAGCAAGTCGTCTGTCCATTTGGTACGGAAACAAAGAGGACATTCTAGAATAGAGCGGCATAATGTTTGAATTGACTCAAAACGGACTGTATAATCTCTGTCTTCTGCGTGCAGACACATGCAGTCTGACTCGGTGCAGCATGCTTTGAGGCTGGAACACTACTCTTGTGGTTTATTTGTATAATAAAGTGAAACCGTTATTTTAATCGATGATCATCCGCTATCGGTCATGCACAAGCTCTTCAAAACATTTCAAATTTAAAAGATTAATATTAAATTTACTTAACACCAGTAAGAGACTAAAAGCTGTTTGAAATGCCTTTCGATGCCAAGACATTTCTAAGCTCAAAAAAGAGACCACTTCAACTTGTTAATTCTGTTAAGCATACCAGTGCTCTGCAAAATACATAAACATTAACAGATACCGAGTAAATATTCTAGAAGGACTGTGTAGAATACAGAACTCTGCTAAAAATCTCCCAGGGATCTGTAACCAGAGAAGATCATATGCAATCCCTGTGGCAGCCAACTAGCAGGTATCTAGAAAACAAATTCTGACCATACCATGAAGAAAATGTAACATGTACAAAATACATCAGAAAATCCCTTCTATAGAAAAGGGATATGGAAAATACATTTCAAAGACCACTACAATCCCGTAACTTCACTTTCCTCGGAGAAAAAACAAACCCACTACATGAAGCACCATGTTTGAAATAGCAGCCTGAACAGCATTTCTTAAATATCTGTTTCATACTCTTGATGTTCATATCACTATTGCCAAGCTTTCAAAAGCTCAGTAACTATTCCTCAAATATCCTGGCAATGGTTTAGAGAAAGTAACTTGGAATTTTGAACCCAGAATGTTTTCTCTTCTGCTTCACGAGTTACTCCAAGAGCTCAGACCCTTCACAGTTACAAACGCTTACAACTC